TAAAGAAGATATGGTGTGTGTGTGTGTGTTGTGGACTATTAGCCATAAAAAAGAATGAAATTTTGTCATTAGTGACAACAGAAATGGACCTAGACAGTATTTTGCTAAGTGAAATAAGTCAGACAAACAAAGACAAATACTAGATGATTTCACTTGCATGTGGAAGCTAAAATAACAGAACAGGTGAACAAACGAAACAGAAACACAGTCATAGATAGAACAAACAGATGGTGCCAGGGAGTGGGGGCTAAGAGAAATAGATGAGGAAGGTTAAGAGGTACAAACCTCTCGGTTGAAAAATAAATGAGTCAAGAGTGTGAAATGTACAGTTTGGGGAATACAGTCAGTACCCTTCTATGGTGACAGATGGAAACTAAACTTATAGTGATCATTTTGAAATGTATAGAAATATCAAATCACTCACTGTGTTGCACCAGGAACTAACACTGTTGCAGGTCAAGTATACTTCAAAAACGAACTTGTAGGAAACAAAGATCAGATTTGTGGTTACCAGAGGAGGGGAGTTGATTGAAGGTAGTCAGAAGGTACAAACTTCCAGTTATGAGATACATACTGGGTATGTAATATACAACATGATAGTTACAATCAACACTGCTGTATTTTATATATGAAAGTTGTTCAGAGAGTAGATCCCAGGGAGTTGCCTGGCGGCCCAGGGCTTAGGACTCTGCACTTTCACTGCAGAGGGCCCAGGTTCAGTCCCTGATGGGGGACCTAAGATCCCACAAGCTACATGCATAGCCATAAAAGAGAAAGAGTGGAACCTGGGAGTTCATATCACAAGAGAAAAAAAAGCTTTTTTTCTGTTTCATTTTGTTTCTATGTGAGATGATGGCTATTCACTAAACTTTAATAGTGATAATCATTTTGTGGTATTCTCCTTAAACTTATACAGAGGTGTATGCCAATTATATCTCAATAGAATTGGAAGGAAAAAAATTTTAAATTGGGAGAAAAAGAATTTTGACCTTTATTCCAAAGCATACACAAAATTAATTTAAGGTAGATTATTGAATGATTTAGGCTAAACACTAAAGTATCTAAAAGGTTTAAAAGGAAACATAAGGAAATACTTCAGAGAAGGCAAACATTTCTTGAACCTGATGTAAGACACACACCCCAAAAAAAAAAATTAAAGATGGATATAAATACATTAACATATCAGTTTATTAAAAGTAACATTGAGAATAAAATTTTCTTGGGCACCGAAATCACTGCAGATAGTGACTGCAGCCATGAAATTAAAAGACACTTTGTCCTTGGAAGAAAAGCTATGACCAACCTGGACAGCATATTAAAAAGCAGAGACATTGCTGACGAAGGTCCACCTAGTTAAAGCTATGGTTTTTTTCAGTAGTCGTGTATGGATGTGAGAGTTGGACCACAAAGAAAGCTGAGTGCAGAAGAATTGATGCTTTTGAACTGTGATGTTGGAGAAGACTCTTGAGAGTCCCTTGGACTGCAAGGAGATCCAACCAGTCCATCCTAAAGGAAATCTGTCCTGAATATTCATTGGAAGGACTGATGCTGAAGCTGAAACGCCAATAGTTTGGCCACCTGATGCAAAGAACTGACTCATTGGAAAAGACCCTGATGCTGGGAAAGATTGAAGGCAGGAGAAGAAAGGGACAACAGAGGATGAGGTGATTGAAGGGCATCACTGACTTGACGGACATGAGTTTGAGCAAGCTCCAGGAGTTGGTGGTGGACAGGGAAGCCTGGTGTGCTACAGTCCATGGGGTCGCAAAGAGTCCGATGCGACTGAGCAACTGAACTGAAACTGGGAGAAGATACTTAGAATATATCCAACAAAGAATTCATCTGGAGTATGTAAAGAATTCCTACAAATCAATTAAGTCCAGTTTTAAAGAATGAACAAAAGACTTAAAATGAACTTCACACAAAAAAAGGATGTCCCAGTGGCCTATTGAGCATAATGCAAACCAAAATCTCACCGAATTATCACTACACCCAACAAATTGACTAAAATTGTTGACAAAGAGGTAGAGCAGCATTGCTGGTGGAACTGTAAATTGGTTTAACCACTCTAGGAAACTGGTGGATCTGCTTCTTAATAAAGCTAAGTCTTCCTGTGACCCAGCAATCCTCCTGTTATATGTATACCAAGAGAAATATGCATGAATATTCACAGCATTCATAATAGCGTCAAACAGGAAATGACCCAGAGTAGATAAGTATTTTTTGGTGTATTTGTATGAGAAAATACTTCAAATGGCTGCTAAATACAACATGCATGAATCTCACAGATGACAGTGAACAAAAGAGTGTATACTATTTATAAATTTATATTATAAATCTCCATTTATCTAAAATTCAAAAACAGGTTAGACTAATCTATGCTGAAAGAAATAAGAATAGTAACCTGGGGCATTATCATTGAATGGTTAGGGCTTAAGGGAGCCTTGGGCTGCTGGAAGTATTCTGTGTCTTGATCTGGGTGGTGGTTACCTAGGGGTATACATATAAAGTGTACTTTATATAATAGCTCAATCGATTTTTAAACAGTAATAGTACAGTAGATATTTGCTGTAACAAAATTTTCACCTGGCTTGCACTTTTCACCTGCTGAAAAAAATTTTTTTTTCTGGGAAATTTTTGACTAAAAAATTTTATGTGGTGGACTAGAAAGAGCATTGACTTTTGAGTTTAAAGACCTTGTTCTCAGTACCTTTCTGCTGCTTTTTACTCCTCTAGTAATCTTGTGCAAATTATTTTAATCTCTTTCTGTTGTTGTAGAATGTAAGTAGTAACTTCCCTTTTTAATTCCCGGGAAACCAAAGGATTAAATGAGATGATCGATGTGAAGTTGCTTTGCACTAAATTAATTATGCAGATATATAGTATCTTCATAATTTAAAGACACTTGGGTCTAGGTTCATAAACCCAAATTCTGTAATTCCTCATGAATATTGTGATAATGATCTAGTTCCCCGTGTAACAGATTGCCTTGATTTATTCCTTTTTATCAGATAACTGAGAATTTTGAAGTGTTCTTGGTAGTCTTGGAGTCTGCACTGGTGGGAGCATGACTTTTGCATTGAAAGACAGTGGGGTTGCCCTGAGCCATCTACCCTATTCTCCCAATCATTTTGCTGATGTATTCCTAAAACTTGGTCACGTGTCAGAAGCTTAGCTTTTGGAAGAACCTTTAAAAAACTTCATCAACTTTTAGAAGTGACTGATTATGAAAGTTGCTGTTTTATTTGCCTGTGGAGGGTAGGGGAGCTATTACCAATTACAGTTTTAAGAAAGTACTGATTGCAAGGTATCTCCTAACTTTTAGAGATATTAATTGGGAGAAAAAAAAAAGCATGCAGTGAAACACAAGAGGTTTTAGTAAATTTTTAGTTGTGGATTAGCATGACTTGAAAGTTGAAGTATTTTTAGCCCTGTAAAAATGTTAGTTGAAGTGTACCTAATAGTAACAAATTACTTACATGGGAGGCCAGAATTAAAGATGGAGCTTACAGAGGAAATAAAGCAAATATGAGATAAAATATTCACCACTGGAATTTAGACACTTTAACACATCATAGTGACCCACACTAGTCTTAATTTGCTTAATAATCATTGTCATCAAATTAAAACTAAATTTTGATAACCAAGAAGTGTTTTATTACTACAGAATCACAGCAGAAATTGTGGAAACTTCTATGAGAGCCCAAAATACTTTTGTCTTGTCCATTGCTGTTATCTGTAAATACTTTCAGGTGTGTGTTTGTCATCTGAAAACCCCCAGAAACCTTTAATCCTTCAAGGAGAATACTTTTTACCTCCTAAAACTAAAATAGATAGGTATTTTATGCACTGATGGTAAAACCTTTTTTGTAATCATCATTTCCCACATTTAAGTTTTTGTACCAAGATTAATAATTGTTCCTATTGCAGGACGTTGAATCTAAGCTAGTATTTTAGATACTTAGCAGAAGATAAAAAGTTGTGTCTTTCTTCATCTTTAAAAAATTCAAATGTTTACAGAAAGTAGTTAATTGATTGAGAGCTAGTACTTACTGTAGAAGTAAGGCTAAGTTCCCATAGTAAAAGCAGTTTTGATCATTGTTTGAATTTCAGAAATGGTCTCACTGTCATATTTGCTTAAAACACATTTCAACATTGTCTCTATGTTATATTACTATATTAATAGATTATATATATGAATAGGCTTTTGCAGGTTTAGAGGCTTTTTTTTTTCTTTTTTAGCCTCTTTCAACCTGACAAAGGAATCAGCAATTTTTAGCCAGAAATGTATGGACTAAAATGTAAATGTGAAGTCATGGGGGTATATAAAAATGTAGCCTGTTTTCTTTAATAAATGCTTTTTCAAAGTAAGATTGGCAGCTCACAGTGTATTTAAAGAGAAAGAGCCAGTAGGGAAAGTAATAATGAGAGGGAATGATTACAAATTCAGTTCAACATGGCAAGGGTTTCCCCTGTGGCTCAGCTGGTGAAGAATCCACCTGCAATGCGGGAGACCTGGGTTTGATCTCTGGGTTGGGGAGATCCCCTGGAGAAAGGAAAGGCTACCCACTCCAGTATTCCAGCCTGGAGAATTCCATGGATGACTGAGCGACTTTCACTTCATTTCCAGTAGGGCAAATAAGGGAATTCTCCATGGACCATTCTTCCCCACTCCCTCCCAGAAGTTACTGGGAACCATATTAATTAATGAGTTTTAGTCACTTGAGCTGCAGGGCCTCAAGTTGACCACTGGAGAACAAAGAAGACCACATTTCTATGGCAGCAGCCTTAAGGAGCATTGGAAACCAGCAACAGGGAAGATAGAAGCCAAAGATCATGGGATAACCTACTATTAGCCATGGAACCCAACAGGGTATCTGGTAGTTCGCTGCTTATGAGAATCTTCTGATATGCAGAATATAGGCATGACTCCTATTTTTAGAATTAATATTTTATGGATAAATTTTAGAAAACTGACCATTTTATTTACTGTTTACCAGTACGAGGATGTCGTCCAGGAAAAATTGTACAGATGACTGAAGCAGAAGTTCGGGGCTTATGTATCAAGTCTCGGGAGATCTTTCTCAGCCAGCCTATTCTTTTGGAATTGGAAGCACCACTGAAAATTTGTGGTATGTAAATTGGTAAAGTTGGAAACAATCTCTTTTGAATCCACTACACTGAAGATGAGTTAGAGAAAACATCTAAAAAGTTTGGTGAAAAAAAGGTTTGCTAGGTTTTATTACATACAATTGTAGAAGTTGAGACTTTGAGAAAATGACAACTTAGTGATGAGAAGAAAATGTTGATTATATATACAGCAGATTAAAAGATTGCTGGTCACACTGTACAAAGAGTTCTTAAAAATAAGAAAAAGACAATACAATAAAAAAAATTGAGTGGGAGCAGATTGTAGAAGAGATTCAAATGACCAGTAGACATAAGATCCTCAGACTCACTAGTAATCAGTGAGATGCAACTTAAAAACAAATCTGGGACTCTGATGAAATTGGGGGGAAAATGTCAAAAATTGTTACCTATTGTTATCAAGGATATGGATTCGAGTACACAGGTATAGAATTTTGGGGGCCGATATGGCAGTATCATGGTCTTCTAACTTAGTTTTGATTGTTTTTGTTTATTTTGAAGATTATATAACTATACAGTTTGTATTTGATCTTTTCAGGTCTTACAGTGGCTTTTGGCCAAAGGCAAAAACTTAAACCTTAAGTTGACATATTGTTGTAGTCAGAAAAACTGTTGGCACAGAAAAGCATTTTTCTATAGTTTATGAAACTGTAGGATGTAGTATGTATAATGTATTGTACTGACTTTTGGTTTCATAATGCAGTTTTTCTTTTAGTAGTTGTTAGTATTTATCACATAGCTTTAATGAACTTAACCAGCAGCTTTTGAAGAGATAGTTGAAATTGTGTAGAAATGATCAGTCCCTTCTATGAATTTAAAGAAAGCAATTTAAAAGTCATCTTAAAATTTAAGTGACTCAATAGTCTCAACAAGATAGTCTTTACATGCTTTCATACAGAAATAATTTGCAAGTAATAGAAGTTATTTATACTAAATATTTCTTAAGTTTTTGCTGTTCGCTCACTACTAGGCATAAAAAAAGTGGACCTAAGTTAAATTACCAGATAATGAATGTAACTGTATTCGTATATAACAAATTACCCCCAAACTTTGTGACTTAACAACATTACTTTATCATGTCACAGTGTCTGTGGGGTAAAAATTCAGGCAGAGCTTAGCTGGATCCTCTGGTTTTGAGTCTCTCACAAGACTACCGTCAAGATGCCATCTGGACCTGTAATCATCTCAAGGCTCAATTGTGAAAGGATTCAGTTCCTTATGGGCCAGTGGACTGAAGACCTCAGTTCCTAATGAGCTGTTGGCCCATGGCCTCCTTTAGTTCTTTATTAGGTGTGCTTCTCCATAAGGTAGCTTCATCACTGAGCATGAGAGAAGGCAAGAGAAAGTGCAAGCAAGATGGGAAGCTAAAATCTTTTGTAACCCAGTCTCAGAAGTGACAGGCCATCTCACTTTTGCTGTATCTTCTTCGTTAGAAGTAAGTCTCTAGTTAACAGCCCGCATTCAGGAGAGAGGATTACATAAGGGTATAAACATTGAGAATCATTTCATAGAAGCTGCTTTACCACAGTAAACGTAAACTTTCTGAAACTGGCTTTTTCTGTTTTTAGGCGATATTCATGGACAGTATACAGATTTACTGCGATTATTTGAATATGGGGGTTTCCCCCCAGAAGCCAACTATCTTTTCTTAGGAGATTATGTGGACAGAGGAAAGCAGTCTTTGGAAACAATCTGCTTGCTGTTGGCTTATAAAATCAAATATCCAGAAAACTTCTTTCTCTTAAGAGGAAACCATGAGTGTGCTAGCATCAATCGCATTTATGGATTCTATGATGAATGTAAGTAAAAATAAAAGCATTTCTTTTTAATTGGAAAATTCTCTAATAGTTTTCTGTTTCAGAAGAGTTCTTTCAGGAGTTTTAAAAAAATATGATCAAGCAGAAGCCCGAGAGGCTTTCATGGAAGAGGAACCTGAAACTGGGAAACATGTTATTAGTTAAATAGGTTCCATAGGATCTCCTCGGTCATGTTGTTTCAGGTTGACTGCAGCTTACTCAGCTGAAAGGTTCTCTTATAATTAGTTTATGTGGTAAAAATATCCAAGTGGAACAGAGGTCACTACAGATAGTAAGTAGCCTGTTTCTAGTCTCTATTAAGGTTTTAGTTTTCTTGTGATATGGTAAAAACTCTTATTGAGCCTGTGTCACAAAAAAATATTGAGAAGTTCTATGAAATTATTTAAATTTGGAGTTCATTAGAATTTTAATCTGTACCTATAAGGATGTTGCTTACTCTGGGATGTCCTTATTTTATTTTACTCTTTTTCATCAATAAGAAATCACTGGTTTGCTGTTGTGGTATTTCTGAGTGTTACAGATGACCCCGTTACATTTGACTTCGGTCTTTTTGCTTTTGGTTAGGTTATGGGAGTGAGTGGGCTTCCCTAGGTTGGGAAGATCCCCTGAAGAAGGGAATGGCAACCCACTTAAGTATTCTTGTTTGGAGAATTCCATGGATAGAGGAGCCTGGCAGGCTATAGTCCATGGGGTCGCAAAGAGTTGACTCGACTGAGCAACTAACTTAACAACAGAGTAAATGAACCTATGTTTGATTAATTAAAAGTTAGAACCAATTAACAATGATTTTCAAATGGAATTTTTTTTCAGTGCTGAATTCTCCATTAGAATCTATTTTTGCTTTTTTCCATCCTTAATTATGGTAGAGCTATTAGAACTCCTATCTTTGATTCATGTAATCATTTATTTGACAAACTTTTGAGGATGTATTATATGCCAGCTACTGTTCTAAATACTAGGAATGCAGCAGTGCTTAAGAGAGATGGTGTCAATTCTTATGGAGTTTACATTCTAGTCGGAATGATTTTATATTGCATTTTTATTTCTAAGGTGTAGTGTATGGTTTCAGTTTTTTAAATCAGACCAGTAGACAGGAAGTGGATTGTAGTACACCACGCTATAACTACTTTTCTAAAGCTATATCAGAAATAGAGGTGTATTATTAAAGGATAAAATATGGACTTGAATACTTTGAAGGGTAGAAAAGAAATCAAATGAAATGTATGTGAGAGCAGCTTGTAAACACTTTCAGTTATGCTTGCTCATTGAGAGAAAGGTTATGGCATAAAGGTTATGGCATAGGAAATGAGGGCTTTGTGTCGTTTATTCCTCCCTTTGGTTAGTTATTGCAACTTACTACCAAATTCAGAAAACTCAGTAACTCAAAAAAGGTGAACATGCATTTAAGATTGTCTTCATTGTAGTTCTTTATGTTAGACTACAGGAAAATTATAGCCTTTGTGTCTCTATTTATCCTTGCTATGGTGCCAAGTAGAAATTTACTCAAAAGTTAAGCACTTGGAAATTCTCCTTTCTTGGCAGCAAGTTTATACCATGTTACCAATGCATTAGAGTTAAAACGGACAGTCTCCAGAGGCACACTTTTCACTTCTGCTTACTTATTTGGCTAGGTATATAACATGTTGAATGGAAAAAATTAATAACCTGTTAGATTGTTTAGAGTTGCTATATTATAGTGATCTTAAAAGGCAAAAATGTTTGATTTGTTTTATAAAACACCTGGCAAAATCTTTTTAGTCTTCATAATTTTACTGAAAGTGCTGAATGTTTATTATATGTATTACCCTAAAAGTATACAAGTGACATTCATTATAGAAAAAAACAAGTGCTAGGTGAAACAAAGAAAATTGAAATCATGTATAAGTCTGTGGCTGTGAGAATAACTAATGAGAACAGTTTTATATTTGTTCTGTTTGCTTGTCTGTTTTTTAGGCAAACGAAGATTTAATATTAAGTTGTGGAAGACCTTCACTGATTGTTTCAACTGTCTGCCTATAGCTGCCATTGTGGATGAGAAGATCTTCTGTTGTCATGGAGGTAGACTAGTAAATCTGCCTTATGGACTTTTCTTCTTCGTTCCTTATTTAGAAAGGGCCTATGTTTATTGAGGTGCTGTGGGAAAACAAAGCAGTGCTTGTTTGAAAACTCAAGTGATTAAAACTGTTTTAAACATAGCCAAAAACATCTTTTAATAACTAGAAATTTGTGGTTATTTATACATAATGAAAATGCAGATTTAGTATTTGTCTTTAAAGAATTTCATATATGAGGAGGATGACCAGAGTTTTGTTTGAAAAAAAGTCTTTCCTTTGCCTCAGTTTTGACAGAAAAATATCAGTGAAAATGTGAGGATCATGACTATTTTCCTGTCTCTATTAAATGCCTTTCATCAGAATCCACATATAATTGAGTTTAATATTCTCACATGCCAAGAGTTCTAGGTTTTATGTACTGCTTTAGTACTGCTTTATGTCTGCTTTAGTCCTAAAAGTAATAATAGAATGATGAACATATGACAGTTTATTCGAAAAACTAACATGTGTCTAACAGTTGGCTGGATACTGTGAAAATATATAGTTAGTATATGATCTGGCTATCTTGATTTTAAAACCTGTTGATAAAACATATTTTCAAACCAGATAATTGAGTAGTGAAAGGAATTTATGTCAGGGTACTTGCTGACAATAATTATAATGAAAAATCAGGAAAGGAGAGAATTGTTGGGCAAACATTTATGGAAGCTTGGGTTTTGGAGATGAAAAGGACGTGAGAGTCTTCTAGTTGAAGGTCTATGTGAGGGCTGGCCCAACTAGAATGTCAAATGCATATTGGAGAAGGATGGGATCAGATTTTGGAGATGTGAGCACTGGGCAAAGGAGTTTGTTGAATGGTTTAATAACCACATTGGGTTTTTGCACAGGGAGATAATTTAATAAAAATAGTTTTTCATCAGTGTGTAGGAAGAATTAAGGTAGAAAAGTGCTAAAAGATAGATGCATGTGTCTTAGCCTGAGGTAATAAGTTGTTTATTTTTAGATAGAACATAATTTACTATGTTAGTTGAAACATTGTACAGTAAACACTAGACATTTAGGAAATGTTTATGATTAAGTGGTAAGAAGTGGCCAAACTTCTTAGTAGGAAGGACTAGAATTGAGTGCCTTCCTGTGAAGGGCAAGGAGTGGTTGGAAAGAAAGAAAAGTGGTAGGATTTTTTCCTTGAAAAATCTTTTGAAATGAAAAGGAGTTTTATTTCTCTGGTAGGGAAAAACAGCGAAGACCTAATCATAATGTCCTTTTATATCAAGGTGGGATTCTGTTTAATAACCCAGTGTTTTAAAGATAACATTGAAAGGAATGCTTGAAAGTATCTTTAATTTCACATAGTGAATCTACTTTGATTAAATGCTTTTTATTTGGAGTGAAAATTTTTTAGATATCAGTACTGTGAGTGTTGTTTTCATTTATAGGACTGTCCCCAGACCTGCAATCTATGGAACAGATACGGAGAATTATGAGACCCACTGATGTCCCTGATACAGGTTAAGTATATAAAGAAGTTTAATCTTTTTTGTGTGTGTGTGTGTGGTCACACCATGCAGAATGTAAAATCTTAGTTCACCAACCAGGGATCAAACCTGTGCCCCCTACATTGGGAGCACCTGGGAAGTCCGTTAATCAATTTTTAATGTAAAATGTTGGCATATTTGAATTTTATTACATAACTGTAATATGGTTCTGTCAACCTTATTTTTTGCCTAAGATCTTGCTATTTTTTGCTCCGGTATTGAAGCATACTGAGAGCATAATGATATCACTCAGAATGCTACTCATGACTAAACATCAACCATATAAACAGTTGTACGGATCCTCTTTTATCAGTAAGCCACTGACATATTGCAGTACATTGTCTCCTAACAGAGTAACACTGTTTTTGTGTTGATTATTTTTTAAAAATGCATTTTTCCAGATTTTGATTGTAATTTAGAATATATTTGACTAATAGAACCTAGTACTTAAGTAATAATAGAGTATTTATTTAAAATAAGGTACAATACAAATTTCAAGTGATTACATCTTGAGAGTTCCTGTTGATGGTATAGTTCAGGCATAAATCAGTTTCAAAGATCGCATGTTAGATTTCTCTTTCCATTTTAATGGGAAGTTTTTGAGATGCCATGAAATGGCCATTTTGAGCTTTCATATTGTCTGTCATATTTAGACATTTATTTTCTAAATTAATATTGTTGAAACAATAGCCTAATGATTATAATACTTATTCATTAGGGCTTGGACTATAAACATTAAACCTTGACTCTCAGATTCTTGTCTTGATTCCGTTAAGGTTGAAGAACTCCACATTGTTGTTGCTAATGGTTATTTGATTTTATATGCATCCAGGCTGTTGCATTTTCCAGATAGTCCTGAAAGCCAACTACATTCTAGTTATTTTGTCATATAAAAATTATAGAATAGTATCTTAACCTCGTCACTGCTGCTTTTATGCAAACAGACTGGGAACTATGAGCATTACAGAGCTGCGTGTGTATTTAAAGAATCAGCTTCTGATTCTTTAGAAACCCGAAAGAGCTTGTGAATTGAGACCATCCTAGTGGATTTACTATACTGGTGGGTTTCTTATGACAGGAGCTTAGGAAATGATGGTAGAAATTAAGTACATTGCCACCATTTGTACAGTATGTTTCAGATACTTCCCCTACCAAGATAAGCTATATTGTGATTCAAAATGAAGGTCTCCTTTTGTTATAAGCTGTATTAGTATATGGATTATTGAAAAAAATCTTTGACGCCAACTCATTCTAAAAGTCTTCCCTTAGCATTTATTCATTGTACTTGAAGCTTAACCATTTCCTACTTCTAGGTTAATTCTTACCCTTTCAGGAGATCTACTATTTTAATCTCTTGTTTTGACAATACCTTTCCAATACTTAATGTTCATTCCTTCTCTGCTTGGGTATTAAATGTTTGATTTCTCAGAGTAGATTTATTGGTCTTCTTGATATTCCCAAGATGGTCTCAGTCCCTCCTAAGATTTATACTACCGTTAGAATGATGAAGATGTTGTTGTCGCTAAATCACGTCCAACTCTTTCGACCTGATGAACTGCAGCATGCCAGGCTTCCCTGTCCTTCACTATCTCCTGGAGTTTCACTTCAGTTGCTCATTTGTGTCTGATTCTGTGACTCCATGGACTGCAGCATGCCAGGCTTCCCTGTCCATCACCAACTCCTGGAGTTTACTCAAGACTCATGTCCATTGAGTCAGTGGTGCCATCGAACCATTTCATCCTCTGTCATGCCCTTCTCCTCCTGCCTTCAATTTTTCCCAGCATCAGGGTCTTTTCCAATGAGTCAGTTCTTTGCATCAGGTGGCCAAACTATTGGAGTTTCAGCTTTAGCATCAGTCCTTCCAATGAATATTCAGGACTGATCTCCTTTAGGATGGACTGGTTAGATCTCCTTACAGTCCACAGGACTCTCAAGAGTCTTCTCCAACACCACAGTTCAGAGGTATCAATTCTTTGACACTCAGCTTTCTTATAAGTCCAACTCTCAAATCCATTCATGACTACTGGAAAAACCGTAGCTTTCACTAGACAGACCTTTGTTGGCAAAGTAATGTCTCTGCTTTTTAATATGCGTCTAGGTTGGTCATAGCTTTTCTTCCAAGGAGCAAGCATCTTTTAATTTCATGGCTGCAGTCACCATCTGCAGTGATTTTGGAGCCCAAAAAAATAAAGTCAGCCACTGTTTCCCCATCTGTTTCCTGTAAGGTGATGGGACCGGATGCCATGATCTTAGTTTTCTGAATGTTGAGTTTTAAGCCAAGTTTTTCACTCTTCTCTTTCACTTTGATCAAGAGGTTCTTTAGTTCTTCACTTTCTGCGATAAGGGTGATGCTATCTGCATAACTGAGGTTACTGATATTTCTCCTGGCAATCTTGATTCCAGCTTGTACTTCCTCTAGCCCAGTGTTTCTCATGATGTACTCTGCATATAAGTTAAATAAGCATAGTGACAATATACAGCCTTGACATACTCCTTCCCCTATTTGGAACCTGTCTGTTGTTCCATGTCCAGTTCTAACTGTTGCTTCCTGATCAGCATACAGATTTCTCAAGAGGCAGGTCAGGTGGTCTGGTATTCCCTTGTCTTTAAGAATTTTCCAGAGTTTGTTGTGGTTCATACAGACTTTGGCATAGTCAATAAAGCAGAAGTAGATGTTTTTCTGGAACTCTTGCTTTTTCGATGATCCAGCAGATGTTGGCAATTTGATCTCTTGTTCCTCCGCCTTTTCTAAATTCAACTTGAACATCTGCAAGTTCAAGATTCACATACTATTGAATCCTGGCTTGGAGAATTTTGAACATTGCTGTGCTAGTGTGTGAGATGAGTGCAACTCAGTGCAACTGTGCAGTAGTTTGAACATTCTTTGGCATTGCCTTTCTTTGGGATTGGAAATGAAAACTGACCTTTTCAGTCCTCTGGCCACTGCTGAGTTTTCCAAATTTGCTGGCATATTGAGTGCAGCACTTTGACGGCATCATCTTTTAGGATTTGAAAGAGCTCAACTGGAATTCCATCACCCCCACTAGCTTTGTTCGTAGTGATGCTTCCTAAGGCCCACTTGACTTCATATTCCAGGAGTTTGCTCATGCTCAATGTCCATTGAGTCAGTGATGCCTTCCAAGCATCTCATCCTCTGTCACTAATATTTAAATATTTTTAGCTCTATTTTTTTTTAAGCCTGAAACATTACTATAAAGTCAAGGATTTGATTTGATTTTGTTCCTCCATACCCTGTTTAAATCTTCCAGGCTTTTGTAGAAAATGTTTTCTTCCCTCAAATCAAATTGATTTCTTCCCTCAAATCAAATGTAGTTATGATGAAATCTCAGTCGGATTCACAGAATTAGACAAACTGATTCAGAGGTTTATATATAGAAGAACAAAGGATTAAAAGTAACCAAGACAGTCCTGAAGAAAATGATTGAGTGGGGATAGGCCTACTAAATGGAAAGATTTATTTAAAAGCTCTAGTGTATTGATGTCTCAGTGATAAAGTAGATTAATGGAATAGATTATAGCACCAGAAGCAGGATCGGTAGCTCTGTAAGGAAAGGATGAAATTATTCAGGAAATGCTGCTGAGTCAATTGGTATCCATACAGAGAGACTATAGACAAAAGATGAAGAGACTTTTCCAATATCATGTTTAGAGCATTCCGTTCATATATTTCTTACCTGTTTCAAGGGCTGGGGAGTACTACCTTAAGCCAGGCAACATTGTATGTGTGGTTACTTTAACAAAAAATGGCTGAGTTTTATAGGCTGGGATACTAGGGGCAATGATTGACAGTATTTATTAAAAGGTAGAAGGACAGGAGAAGAACTGTGATGTAGCTATACTTTACTTTATAAATTGTCTTTTCGTTGCTGTGTTTTTATCGTTTAAAGGTTTGCTCTGTGATTTGCTGTGGTCTGACCCAGATAAGGATGTGCAAGGATGGGGAGAAAATGATCGCGGTGTTTCCTTCACTTTTGGAGCTGATGTAGTCAGTAAATTTCTGAATCGTCATGATTTAGACTTGATTTGTCGAGCTCATCAGGTATGAGATACAAGCCTTTTCGGATGTTTTGGTATTTATTAACTTCATCCAGGTCTATGTCTTTTTGTTTGTTTGCTTTGTTTTTTGTTTTTTGAAAATTGAGATCGAAGAAAGCTAATTATTACAAGGAAAACAGAAGAGTTACTTAAATCCTATACCTTGATTTCACAATTAATAACCTAATGATTAGTTAACTTTTTCTTACCCTCTAAGGGGAAAGATTTCAAAGGAATATATTTTTGTAGTGTATGGCAATACTAACAAATTGTTCAGTGCTTGTCTGCAATCTTCTAGAAATATTTGATCCCATTTTAATATGATAGTTATATATTATAGATAACAAATACATTGTGTGGATTTTGATAAGAACAAACCACACTCTAAAAAGACATTTTTGAAATCATTGGGAAGATTTGATTATAGACTGTGTGTTAGATACCAAGGAGTCATTGTTAATTGTTTTAGCTGCGATGAATTGTATTGTTATATAAGAACGATGTCCATATTTTTCAGAAATGCATGCTCAAGTATGTAGTGATAAGATGTTTTGTTTTAAAATACATCAGAAAAAGGAGCAGGAGATAGATGAAGTAAATGTAGAAAAGTCTTGGTAATTATTGAATCAGGGTGGTAAGTAAATATCCAGTCCTCATGCTCTCTAGAACATAACTGATTTGAAATACACTGAAAAGCATTTTTAAAAATTTTTTTAGCTGCTTACATATTTTAAATTTGTAAATATTTAAAGATTCCTTGTTTATTAAGGTAAACTTCATTGAGTTATTTATATGCTATATATACTTAGTTTTTTTCTGCAGCTTTGTGCCCCATAAACCTTGACTGCTTCACACGTCTCTTTTTTTGTGATCCTATGTGATAACACAGATGACAGGCTTCTCATTTTCTATACATGTTGTATATCACATGCCCTTTTTTCTGTTAAAATTTTCTAGTTCAATTGAATGAAGTCATATCCCCAAATTCTTTGCTTTTGGCAAAGTTGTCTTTTAATCAGTGAGCATTGTGTTTATATGAGATTTCTTGTTGTGTTGTTCAGTTGCTGAATTGTGTCCAACTCTGACCCTGCAGACTGCAGCACACCAGACTCCTCTGTCCTCCGCTGTCTCCCAGAGTTTGCTCAGATTCATGTCCATTTAGTCGGTGATGCTGTCTAACCATCTCAATCCTTTGCTTCTCTCTTTTGCCTTCAATCTTCCCAGCATAAGTCTTTTCCAGTGAGTCAGCTCCTTGAATCAAGTGGCCAAAGTATTGGATGCTGAAGTTCCAATAAAGGAGCTTCCAGGGAATATTCAGGGTTGATTCCTTTAAGATTGACTGGTTTGATCTTCCAGTCAGGGGACTCAAGAGTCTTCTCTAGTACCACAATTCCAAAGCATCAATTCTGCAGCGCTCAGCCTTCTCTGCTTTTTGATATTCTATCTAGGTTTGTCATCACTTCCCTTCCAAGGAGCAAGTGTCTTAACTTCATGGCTGCAGTGATTTTGGAGAAAATAAAATCTGTCACTGCTTCTACTTTTTCCCCTCCTATTTCCCATGCAGTGATGGATGCCATGGTCGTTTTCTAGACACCTGCAACTCCTGTTCTGCTTATTTTCAAGCCTGTTACCTCTGAAATTAAGAGACTTATGATGGGAAACAACACAAAGTTTCCTTTAAAAAAAAAAAAACAAACCTGTTCTTTTGGTAAATATGTGAATAAATAAACATATGAACAAGCAAACTAAGAACTAAAAGGACGTATTGAATGCCAGGCAGTATGCTGAGCTGGAGTCGATACGATGGCCAAGGGCTTAACAGAAAAGGTTAATACCTAAATTTCACCATGAAGTAATAACAACAGGAACGTGTGCCTGATACCTAGGTAGGAATTATATAAAAATGTAGGTGGTTGTGGAAGTGCTTTCTCCAAGTATTATAGGATAATTTTGCTTAATCATAGAATACATAAAAGACTTCAAAATATATTTTTACCTGTTCTGTAAATAAATAGAAAATATTTACATGTCATTGCCTACCTCTCAAAGTTGTAGATCTGAGAAACATAAATTGTTTAATTCACTGAGGAATTGACAACAGATTCTAGAAATCATCTTAAATCATTAAGGGAAAGAGTTATACACATAAAAATCTATAGGCAGCTAATTTGTAGTAGCACGATCTGTGTAAATTAAACTCAGCTTAGTAAAGTTTTCAATGTTTGTAATACTAATAGGAAATTAGAAAATAGATGAAGAAAAATGTTCATAACATAATGTATCTTTTATTATCTGATTATTGTTCATTGAATTAAGGATTTTATATTTGGACCATAATGCCATCATATAAGAAGTATTTGGTATCTCAACTCCCTTTAGACACTGTTCCTATTAGCATATGGAGAATGGTAGTAGAACACTTGAAATGGTATTTTTAAACTTCAGTAATCATAAATTTTATTTCATTTAAGCTAAAGTCTTGCCTTTATAGAAAAAGAAAGCCAATTTTAATGTTCTCGGGTAAGTTTAAGAATAAAAATCAGGCTTCCCAAACCAAATAAGGGTTTGTATTTTTTCAGGTCTTTGTCACATTCATCTTAATTAGTACTGATGGCTGAAAATTTTAAAAGATACATAAATGTTTTTTCCTTTTGACTTTTTCTCTGCCAGGTTGTGGAAGATGGATATGAATTCTTTGCTAAGCGACAATTGGTAACCCTGTTTTCAGCCCCAAATTACTGTGGCGAGTTTGATAATGCTGGTGGAATGATGAGTGTGGATGAAACTTTGATGTGTTCGTTTCAGGTATGCTATATGTGTGATTTGGTTTGTTTCTTCTTTTTTGTTCTCTTTTTAAATATAAATTTTTAACAACTGGAAATCTTTTTAATTGAAGTATAGTTGATTTAGAATATTGAATTAGTTTCTGGTGTACAGCAAAATGTTACATACATATTCTTTTTTATATTTTCCATTGTGATTTGTTACAGTATATTGAATATAGTTCCTTGTGCTGTACAGTAGGACCTTGTTATTTGTTTAATTTATATATAGTAGTTTGTATCCCAAACTCCTAATTTATCCCTCCCCTACTCTTTTTCCCCTTTGGTAACTATAAGTTAACATATAGAAATCGAATTTAAAACTATTGTCAGAAGAATTTTCTTTCAGATTTGTGTTCTTTCCTTGAGCAAGTATAGGAAAACAGTTTTATTCAGAAGTAATTATCACTCTTGGACTCCCTATAGATTTCTATTTTCCTTCACAAATACTTCAGTCTTTCAGGTATATATCTCAGAGTCTTAGGAAACCTAAGTCATGTCAGTCATTCTTGATGGCATGTGTTTAAATTGGTAAGTTCCTGTATGAATCCTTAGGTAGTGGCTTCGCTACTAAAAGAATGTGAATTCAGATTTTGTTTTCTTTTGCAAGATGAATGGATGGGACAGTTGTTGAGTAGAAAGAGTTTATGAACTCTGATGAAAATGATGTATAATATTTACCTAGAAAAACCTTCCGAATCTTAAACTATCCATTTGTGACTATAGAAACATTTACATTTTAAAAAGAGACCAGCTTTAGCATGCTACTTAATCATTCTTGTTTCATGGACTAAAATAACTTCATTTTTTGTCCTTAACACACTATATTTCTCTTTAAAAATATAAGAGGGGTTTCCATTACTATCAGCTAGTACAATTGAATGCCAAATGTTTGATTTCTCATTCAGAATTTAAATGTAGTAACCAGGCCATATCCTTCAACATTTGCCATAATGGAATTGTATTAATAGTTTGTTTTTTTGTTTGTGTGTGTGTGTGTGTGTGTTTTTTCCCCGTATAACCAAAGTATTGCTGGGGATGTGGAGAAGTTGGAACCTTCTATATTGATAGTGGGAATGGAAAATGGTGCAGCCACTTTGGAAAATAGTTTGTCAGTTCCTGAGAAAGTTAAACATAAAGTTTCTATATGACCCAGCATTTCCACTCCTAGCCTGAAAACAGTACTCAAATACATGTATATATACATATTAATAGGAACATTATTTATAATAACCAAAGGTAGAAAACCCAAATGTTCATCAGCTAAAGAATGAATAAACAAAATGTGGAGTATCCGTAAAATGGCACATTGTTTGGCAATTAAAAGTAATAAAGTACTTATACACGCTACATTAAAATCATTATCTCAGTGAAAGAAGCCAGTCACAATAGCACAAATTGTCTGGTTTCATTTATTTAAAATAGCCAGAAAAGACAGTTCAATAGAGGAAAGTAAAGTAGTGATTGCTTAGAGTTGAAGGGGGTTAGGGCAGTCAATAATGAAAATAAAGAGTGAGTGAGTGCTTTTGGGAACAAGGTTTCTTCTTGGAGTGACAAACATGTTCTAGTGTTAGATTATACCAGTGGTTTCATAGTTGTAAATATGTTAAAAATTATTGTCTTTCTACATTTTAAATGGTGAACTTTATGACACAAAATAAATATAGCTTTTTTAAAATGAAAGATCTGTATACACATAATAAATGAAGATTGAAGAATGTGTGACTAATTACCCTCTATATAAATAGGAGAATTATGATGAGAACCTGGGTCTTTTGACTTAGTGTTTTTTCCTCATCACAGAGATACACTAGTTTGAAAATTTTTATACTTAGATCTAAGGATTGAATACTTGATGGGTTTTGTGTACTGGAGCTTTTGTCACTAAATTGTCAATGAAATGACCAATAACAGTAATACTCAGATATTCAGACATTTGTACTTTTTATTTATATTTTGATACTTTTTAAATGTGAGAAATGATTGTAAAACTTTGCTATTTTTTTCCTACAACTTTACGATTGATGTCATTTATCGAGAAGGCTACTATGTAACAATAATTTCCTTAAACTTATTGTACTTGAAAAAGGTAACATTGTTATTAAATTATTTACTTTAAGATACTGAAACCATCTGAAAAGAAAGCTAAGTACCAATATGGTGGACTGAATTCAGGACGTCCTGTCACTCCACCTCGAACAGCTAATCCACCGAAGAAAAGGTGAAGAAAGGAACTCTGTAAAGAAACCATCAGATTTGTTAAGGACATACTTCATGATCTTTAAGTGTGCACTGTAAAACCATCCAGCCATTTGACACCCTTTATGATGTCACACCTTTAACTTAAGGAGACGGGTAAAGGATCTTAAATTTTTTTCTAATAGAAAGATGTGCTACACTGTATTGTAATAAGTATACTCTGTTATAATATTCAACAAAGTTAAATCCAAATTCAGAATTACCCATTAAAGTTACATCTTCACGTATCACAGTTTTTAAAGCTGAAAAGCATCCCAGTTAAACTAGATGTGATAGTTAAACCAGATGAAAGCATGATGATCCATCTGTGTAATGTGGTTTTAGTGTTGCTTGGTTGTTTAATTATTTTGGGCTTGTTTTGTTTTTGTTTGTTTGTTTTTGCTGAAATAATGGCAAATTCTTTAAATTTTTTCCCCAAACATTTTAAAAAGTGCAATGTGGGAAGATTTTTGAAGACATTCATCAACTATTAATTTTCCATTGATTATTTACTTATGTACCTGTTTGATCTTACTAAGAAAACTTATGCCTCATTACAGTAAAAAGGAATTTAGAGATATTTTTAAAAATATGCAAACTGTCCAATTGAGTGATTTAATCAGTTTGGGCAACCATTACAGCTGATAGTGAATATTTTGCTTCATACAGAAATTGCCACTGATTTGAGTTTGTGCACTCTAATTTTAACTTATTGATGCTCTATTGTGCAGTAGCATTTCATTTAACTTTAAGATAAGGCTCATTTAGTATACCCAACTAGTTGGTAATGTGATTATGTGGTATCTTGGCTTTAGGTTTTAATTCGCACGAAACACCTTTTTGGCATGCTTAACTTTCTGGTAACACCCTCACCTGCATTGGTTTTGTTTTTTGGGGTTTTTTTTGTTCTTGTTTTTTTTTTTTTTTAGATCCACAGAACATGAGAATCCTTTTTTGACAAGCCTTGGAAAGCTGACACTATTTTTTCTCCCTCTGTACGAAGGATGTATTTATATGAATGCTGGTCAGTGGGACATTTGTCAACCATGGGTATTGGGTGCTTGACTGTCTAATATTGCCATGTGAATGTTGTATACGATTGTAAGGCTTATGTCACTAAAGATTTTTATTCTGATTTTTCATGATCAAAATTCATATATTGTATAGACATGCTTTGTAGTGAACTATAGTAGCAATAATTTCTGTACATGATCAAGGGTTTATTGCAGCATTTCTTTTCCTGTTCTCTTTTTTTTAAGGGTAGTATTAACAAATGACAGGAGTAGAAGAGTCAACATAAAGATTTTAGGAGAACTTACAGGATACTGATTTGTAATTCTTTGGGTGCAACACTTTTGGATGTGATTCTAAAAGCTATTATTGAGCATTGTCAAATTTGTAAGCTTCATAGGGATGGACATCATATTTATAAATGCCCTCCTATAAGTGCTACCATACATGTGAAATTCTTGACCTTAATATCGTCTTGAAAATGTAAATTGAGAATTCTATTAACTTACATCTTAAGAATTGGCATATTGTATTACTGCAGGAGATTTGATTTTCAGCACAGTGCAAAGTTCTATCAAATGCATATGTCTTTTTTTTTTTCTAATTCCATTTTGTTTTAAAGCACATTTTAAATGTAGTTTTCTCATTAGTAAAAGTTGTCTAATTGATATGAAGCCTGACTGGTTATTTTAGTCCTTTTTTTTCCTTTACAGTGAAACATTTAAACACATTTTATTCAAATAGATTTTTTATATCTTTTATGCTGAATTGGTTCTTTTTAAAAATTGTTCATATACTGCTTAACGATATATTAGGTCAAACAGGCTTTTATCTAATGTGATTTAAATATCTTTCCAACTGAAGAGTAAGTTGAACAACAATTTTTAATAGAATTTTAGATGTACTCTTGGTAGTCACAGTGTGGGGTCTAGAAAATAAGCCTTTGGGAGGAAACAGGGAAGTCTTTTATTAATTTTAGTATTAGTCAAAACACATTAATCTGAATCCTGTATACTGACTTTTTACAATAATTTAGTCAGGTTAATACTGAATAGTCACTAATTAAGCAAATTAATATTGGTCATGGAATTTGAAGAATGAAAATTTATCACATTTTAAAATTATTCAGTCTTCAAACCACTTTTAACAGCTTCTTTTCATATACTGTGTTCATTACAAATATTTGCTTGGTAACACTGTTACTTGAAATAAATAAAACTTTGTTTCTTAGGAGAAGAGTATTTAAAATTCTAGCGTCACTAATTTCTATTGTTCTTCCCTGTCATTAATTTATGTCATTTTTCCTCTCTGAATTTTAATGATTTTCTATATTCAAATTTATCTTTATTCTAAATGCCATGACATTCAAAGTCACTGAACACACTAGATAACTGAGATAATGTGATGGATCACATGGATTATGTTGGTCAATTTCTGTTCTTGAATGGAAAGAATCAACTACAAATATTTGAAGCTTTAGCATACACTGTTTTAACTTTGCCTAGGGACCAGTTTTAATCTTGATCAGCAAGACTGGTTTGTTCAAAATGTTGGGTCAAAATACCTGCAAGCAGAATTTTAAAGTTTAAAAAAAGTGACTAATCGGAAGTATGAGAGGTTAGAGGCCTTTTTAAAAAATTCATCTGAGGGAAAACCGGGAGCATCTTGAGATGTCTGTTAAGAATATGTAAAAGTATATTATTAATATATTGAGCCCAAGAACTTAAATATATCTCCATTTATAAGTTCAGATACATTCCTTTTTCTCTTTGGCAACTGTAACTTTCGAACCAAAAAAAAAACCCAAATTTTTCTCTTTCACATGTGTTTAGTTTAGGAAAATAGGCAGGCTTACTCTACTCTTGCTACCATGACTTAATCCACATCTTCTGTTCCTTGTAAATCCATCCATGAATAAAAACTGTGCCTAAAAAGATACTTAACAGCCTCACTGTACCTGTTGCCTGACATAGAAATACTGTGTCCCAAATGTTTCAACAAAAGTGAAATTTAGATGCAATGTAGAAATTTTGATCTCTTGTTCAAGTTTTACCTACATTTGAATGCCAGAATTTCTAAATAAATCCATTGATTAGAAAAAATTTTTAACTCAAAACTTACTTTCTTTAGCTACCACCTCTTCTTACTTTGATTGACTTATTAAATCGTAAAATTCTTTAATTTCTCATTGTTTCTTTCTTTACAGGTGGTCAGTGTTTTATTAAACCTGATTTTTACATTGTTTTTAGTTGCTTAGTCATGTTCAGCTGTGACCCCCAAGGACTCTAGCGCTCCAGGCTCCTCTGTCCATGGGATTTTCCAGGCAAGAATATTGGAGTGGGGTGCAATTTCCTTCTCCAGGGGATGTCCCCCACCGGGGATTGAAGGCGGATTCTTTACTGTCTGAGCCACCAGGGAAACAGTTATTTTTTATTCTACTTTATTCTTAAGTAGCCATAAATCTTTGCTTTTTTTCTCTTAGGGATCTTTGCCAATTAATGTTACAAAATCTTTGTAACACACGTTATTTGGGGTATCAGTAGTGTGGAAGGTTATAAGTGTGTTGTGTGGTCTGTGTTGTACATATGTGAAACAGAGTGATAATAAACTTCCTGAAGCTCATAGACTCAGCATTTCTTTGATACTGTGTACAAAAGGGTGGGAACCTAAGGTGTCTCCCTAGAGGCTTTCTGTTAAGCCTGGCCTGAGCTCACCAAGTAAGATAATGCGTTAATTTTTGCAGCTTTCTAAAGCTGAGTAATTCAGTGGATGTACAGGCCAAAAAATCTTCTGAGAGAGCAGTGAGACTAAAACTAAGCATCTGAAATTATCATATTATTATACTAATTATAATTATTACTAGTTATTAAAATAGTGTGCCTTTATAGTCTTACCATGTATAAACAGGGAGTTTTGACAAAGTTACAGAGACTTTGAGCAACAATAAAGAAGTAGTCCAGAGAAGTCCTTACTATATGTAACAAGTTTAATTGGAATAACTTGTTATATGTAACAATAATAATCAAATAATAATAGATCTTCTAATGTATTTCTCGGGGGGAAAGAGCAGAGGAAACGAAACTGGGGTGGTGGTGATATAAGGTAAACCTTATATCAGGCTACCCTCCAATATGTAATTCTCAAACTGATACTGGCACCGTTTGAAAATGCTTTCACTCACCAACAGGTTATTAACAAACTGACACCTATCCTACCATTCTTGGGCAAACACGAGCTCTGTCTCTCTAGCCTTCAGTGTAGTACGGATTCCTGAAAAGGCAGGTGTGAAGGGTGGAGTCACCTTAAGCATATTCTGGTAGAACTCAGGAAATTACTCAGTACTTCAGAACAACTTATGTGAGGCCCAGGGCCCCATTCTTTAGCACATGTATCTGTTACGCAGTGTATGCATTAAGTTTTAAGAAACAAATCCTCATCTAACAGGATAATTGCCCTCAGGTTTTGTAGCCCATCTTAGCTGGGGCTTGGTCATGCCACTGAAAATCAAATTATCTGCTGTACAGATCCATTAGTATGTTGGGTATTCCTACAAAAAGTTATTTTTGGTCCTTAGAAGCCTTTGGGTCTGATATGATATGATATGAAGTCACTCAGTCGTATCCGACTCTTTGTGACCCCGTGGACTGTAGCCCACCAGGCTCCTCTGTCCATGGGATTCTTCAGGCAAGAATACTGGAGTGGATTGCCATTTCCTCAGTCTAATTGTATGTGACTAGAATATAAATGCATATGGACCAGAGATTTTTGTCTCTTGTTCGCTGATGTGTCTACAGCTCCTATATGCCTGGCACATAGTACAGATGCAGATGTTGGTTTAATGAATGACAAGTGAGTTTCAAAAATTACTGGTTCTGTTTTGACACTTTGATCTTTTGGAGAAATTAGTCAACAATAGTTCCAGTTTTTATCCTCATCTAACTGCTTTTTCTGTCTTACAAGAATGCTGGAATAGTCT